AAATAGTAGGGGGGGCTAGGGGAGACAATTTGGAATGAAAAGTTCCTCTGGGGTTTTCTTCTGAGTTTGATAGTTACTGAGATTATTGGGAATTTGTTGGCGGTTTTACGAGTTTCAGGGGAATTCAGGATTTTAGGAAGGCGTGGGAATACCTTGGTAATGAGAGAGTTTAGGAGAAAACACCGTAGGAACATTTTGTAGAGGATGAGATTTGAAATAAAAAGTTCCTGTGGTGTTTTTTTCTAGGTTTAATAGTCACTGACATAATGAAGAATTCGTACGTGGCTTTGTAAGTTTCAAGAGGAATTCAGGATTTTAGGAAGATATGGGAATATCTTGGAAATGGTGGAATTTGGAAGAAAACACTGCAGGAACTCTTTGTAGAGCAAGGAATTTGAAACCAAAAGCTCCTGTGGTGTTTTCTTCTAAGTTTAATAGTTACTGAGATATTTAAGGATTCGTATGTGGTTTTGTAAGTTTCAGAAGGAATTCAGGATTTTAGGAAGATGTGGGAATATCTTCGAAATGGTGGAATTTAGAAGAAAACACTGCAGGAACTCTTTGTAGAGCAAGGAATTTGAAACCAAAAGCTCCTGTGGTGTTTTCTTCGAAGTTTAATAGTTACTGAGATATTTAAGAATTCGTATGTGGTTTTGTAAGTTTCAAAAGGAATTCAGGATTTTAGGAAGATATGGGAGTACCTTAGTAATGAGGGAGTTTAGGAGAAAACACCATAAGAACTTTTTGTAGAGGAAGAGATTTGGAATAAAAACTTCCTGTGGTGTTTTCTTCTAGGTTTAATAGTTGCTGAGATAGTTAAGTATTCATATGTAGCTTTGTAAATTTTCGGAGGAATTCAGGATTGTAGGAAGACACGAGAATACCTCGGTAATGAAGACACCGTAGGAACTTTTTGTAGAGGAAGGAATTTGAGATGAAAAGTTCCTGATGTGTTTTCTTCTAAGTTTAATAGTCACTGACATAATTAAGAAATCGTAAGTAGCTTTGTAAGTTTCAGGAAGAATTCAGGATTTTAGGAAGACATGAGAATGTCTTGATAACGATAGGGTTTAGGAGACAACACTAGAGGAACTTTTTGTAAGGGACGAAATTTGGGGTAAAACGTTTCCGTAGTGTTTTGTGTAGTCTTGGGGGTTCCAGGGGGAATACAGAATTTCGGAAATTCGTGTTGAAGAATTATGAGAATATCTTGAGAATAAGTAGCTGTAGCAAAAACACCAGAGAAACTTTTGGTAGGGGAAGAAATTTGTAATAAAAAGTTCCTTTGGTGTTTCCTTTCAAGTTCAATAATTACTGAAATAATTCGAAGTTAAGATATGACGGTAGTTTTCGGGTGTATAAGGGGTCTAGTCTTTCCGAAGGAAAAATGAGATATTCACTAATTGCAATATAATATTAATTTCTAGGGTTGAAGGGCATTCAAGCTTTGTTTTCCCCAATTAATTATGGACTCAGAAGAAAACACCAAAAGATCATTATAGTCGCCAATTTTCTCCCCTACAAAAACATCCTCCATTGTTTTCTTCTAAACCTAATAAGATCCGACATAGCTCCCACATAACCTTAATTTCACAGGTTCAGGTTAACAAAAAATAAAAATTGGCAATTGCAAAAAATCACGGAACAGAATGAATTTAGAAGTAAAGAGCACACAACCTTTTTGTAAGATACCCTATTTATCATTGAAAAAATGTCGCCCACTGAACCCTTCCACCCACAATAATTACCGAGATAATTGTTGACGCGAACATAACCTCACTTTCTAACACTCCACCAGAAACTCAAATACAAAAACCCAAATATCTTCGGAGTGAGCGAATTAATCACAAAACCCCAAAAAACCTTTTTTGTACAGAATTAAATTCCACACAGAAAAGGTCTTATGATATTTTTTCCTAGACCCCCTCACTCCGGAAATAATCCCAAAAAAACAAGAAAATTATCACAAAACTGTCACATCCACTCGTATTTCACGTTTGACTCGAAAAATCTCGGGATTAAGAGATTCAATCGAAAAACAGCAGAGAACTTTTTTGTGGGGAATTTAATCATCTACAAAAAGTTCCCAAAGTGTTTTTACCCAGAGTCAATAATTACCGAGATATCCGCGAAATTGGGAGTAGTGTCACGTTCGGGGGGAACTGTCGCCCCAGTTTGTTTGGGTTTTTTATCGGGGGAACGTACTGGAAGGTCTTTGAAGTGATCCAGAAGGTCTCGAGGGTCGTTCTTCAACTTCGTGAGGGATGTGTCCAGGTCCTCGGCCATTTTTATTCAAGAATACAATAAACTTTTCGGTTGGAATGGGGAGCGCGCTGCGCACTCGAGCGCAGTGGCACAGTGACTGACGCGTGCACTTTGGAGCAGGAATGGGATTGGCCGTGAGTCATCAGGAATTTTTTTCTAATTGATCGGGGGAAGTGAGAGCCCCTCCAGGTGGGAAAGCTCTTTGGATCATCGACTCAAAATAAATCATCCCAAAAAAATGAAAATTCTAAATTTTTTCGCATTAACGCAATGTTTATTTTTTTTATCGGCAAATTAACTCGGGAAGGACTGGGTCTACGAAAAAACTTGTGAGAACTTTTTTGTGGAGAATTTCATAAGCTACAAAAAAGATCTTCAGAATTTTTCTTATAAATTCATTGGTTTTTGAAATAATTCAAGAAATAGGGGGACTTGATTTCCTCACCTGTTTGATCGCATCCTCATGGAATTGCGCTAGTAAATTGGCATCATCCCTGGAGTCAATGAGATCGTGCTCAGCGGGATCAGTGGAGGTGGCACTGACAGTGCCAGCCGCTGCTGCTGGTCCACCTGCAGCGGTGGTTGTGGTGGTGGTGGTGTTGTTGCTCTGACTTGTCATTTCTTCGGTGTACAAAATTTTCTTAATTTGTGATTTGTCCCCGGGTCTCACTGAACGACCACCGCTTCCCGATTGGGAGATGGCATCACCGCTTTTTCCTACAAGCCAGAGGCTTTCCTCCTCTGATGGGGGCATCACTGCCACCAACCATCTGTTGAAGAGAATTTTCTCATTTTTGAGGGATAACGCCGGGGGAAGGGGTTCCAGGGAGAAACAACGGGGGAGCTTTTTGTAGGGAAGGTAATTTGGAATAAAAAGTTCCTCTGGTGTTTTTGTCTGAATTCAATGGGTATTGAGATAATTAGGGATTCGTATGTGGTTTTGTAGGTATCAAGGGAATTCAGGATTTTAGGAAGATGTGGGAATATCTTGGTACTGGTGGGGTTTAGGAAAAAACACTAAGAGAACTTTTTGTAGGGAAGGCAGTTTGGGATAAAAAGTTCCTCTGGTATTTTTGTGTGAATTCCATGGGTACTGAGATGATTAGGGATTCGTATGTGGTTTTGTAGATTTCAAGGAAATTCAGGATTTTATAAGAATGTGGGAATATCTAGGTATTGGTGGGGACTAGGAGAAAACACTAAAGGAACTTTTTGTAGAGAAGGTAATTTGAGATAAAAAGTTCCTTTGGTGTTTTTGTCTGAACTCAATGGGTACACAGATAATTAAGGATTCGTATGTAGTTTTGCAGGTTTCAGGGGAATTCAGGATTTTAGAAAGATGGAATATCTTAGTACTGGTGGGATTGAGGCGAAAACACTAAAAGAACTTTTTGTAGGGGAGGTAATTTAGAATAAAAAGTTCCTTTGGTGTTTTTGTCTGAATTCGATGGGTATTGAGATAATTAGGGATTCGAAGGTGGTTTTGCAGGTTTCAAGGGAATTCAGGATTTTAGAAGGATGTGAGAATATTGGTACCAGTGAGATTTAGAAGAAAACACTAAGGGAACTTTTTGTAGGGAGGGCAGTTTGGGATAAAAAGTTCCTTTGGTGTTTTTGTCTGAATTCAATGGGTATTGAGATAATTAGGGATTCGTAGGTGGTTTTAAAGGTTTCAGGGGAATTCACGATATTAGAAAAATGTGAGAATATCTTGGTACTGGTAGAGTTTTGCAAAAAACACTAGAAGAACTTTTTATCCCAAATTGTCTGCCCTATAAAAAGTTCCTCTGGTGTTTTTGTCTGAATTCGATGGATACTGAGATAATTAGGGATTCGTTTGTGGTGTTGTAGATTTCAGGGGAATTCACGATTTCAGAAAGATGTAGGAATATCTTGGTACTGGTAGGGTTTAGCAGAAAACACTAGAGGAACTTTTTATAGGGAAGGCAATTTGGGATAAAAAGTTCTTTTGGTATTTTTGTCTGAATTCAATCGGTACTGAGATAATTAGGGGTACGTAGGTGGTTTCGCAGAAAGATGTGAAAATATCTTAGAACTGATGGGGCTGAAGAGAAAACACTAGAGGAACTCTTTACAGGGGAAGAAATTTGGGATGAAGATTCCTCAGAAATTCAGGACAAAAATACCCATGCAATAAATACTTTTCACTTCACCTATTACGTTTTATGATTTTTTATACTAAATCATCTTTTCTAGAATCATTTGTCACTGTGGAAACTTACATCCTCACACTTTCAACAATTTTCATTCTATCGCGACACGACTACCTCAAACAACGCAACGCACGTAGGCTAATAAATACTGGATGACGTTTAATCACGATAATGGGGATAAAAAATTGTCATCTGATTCCTCGCTATTTCCCTCCCTCGCGCACTAAACCACACGAAATCATCAGTTCCCACCACTTGCATCGATTATTCTCATGAAATTCATTGTCTAAGAGCTGTCAATAAACTTTTTAAAATGTGAAGACGATTTTTTCATGATTTTTTTATCCCCAAAATTGAGAATCAAGACGAAAATTGCAGCAGTCCTGTAGTAGCCCCAACGATTTTCAAGGCACTCTTCACTAATTCATCACCGACTCGCGGTAAAATCGATGGAATCACCTTGATTTTCCCTCGTTTTTGTACCGATTCAAATGAGTGGTCACAAATGACGAATAATTATCCCAATTAACCGTGCGATTTTATAATTAATGAGACGATCAGAAAAACAAAATTAAATGCATTCTCATGGGAAATGTCGGGTGGACATGAAAACAAGGTGATCTGGGCAACATTAGTGTGCATTAATATTCATTAAGATTATTTACAATTTATTGCTTAATGAACTAATGAAGAACAAATCTAAAATTTATGAAATGATAAATAATATATAATTGTGTAATTAACAAAATAAAAGTAACAAAATGTGATTGAAAGAAATGAGTTAATTATCAAATGATAAAATAGACCGCATGAGTCAATCTACGCAAGACTCTTGGGCGCTAAAATTCATTAAAATTATTTACAATGTATCGATAAACAAAGTAATGAATCACTAGATTACAATTAATGGAATTGTGAAGGATATACAAAGAGCTAGTCTCATGTGATGGTGAGAACAATGTAAAGGATATCCAAGTACTTTGGCTATTTTTTCACCAGTGAAATGCTTTTCTATTATACTTTTGTATTCGAACATCAGAGCTTTCACTTGAGCCCCATTTGACTCTAAATTTTCGGACATTTTACAATGATTTTATTATTTAAACTTTGCAGGTCTGCATTTGAATCTCGATATTGAACCGTTAGACATTTTTTTCATTTGAAAAAAAAATACAAAGTTTACTTTTTGAGGAAGATTGACGAAATAACTAAAAACTGCAATTTTTGAAAATTACGAGCATTTTGTATAAATAATTTGTAAAAAATCAATTTTCCATCATAAAAATCATTTGCTCGTAATCGTAACAAATTAATTTGTATTCAGAGTTTTGCCAGAAATCGATCTTATGCCTAAAAAAATTAGATTTCCGAAAGTTTAAACAATTTTAATTATTTATTCATAAATAACGAATGTTTAAAAAAATGATAATTCTGTGCAAAATGTAATTTCAATGACGCTGAATATCCACGATTTTTTCAAATTTTCCCCACGCAATTTAATTGACAAATTTGATGATTGAAAATAGTTGAATCTATAGTGTGGTCTGTACCAAACTGTAAAATACACTGGGATATCCTTAATGGGTTGTTCCTAACAATGATAATGACTAAATAAAACTCTTGAACAAAATTAGACCTTCTGTCTAAAACATGGAAAAGGACAAGTGTCCGAGGACATTTTTAATGGAGAACTCATTACCTGATTGATATTATTTATTTTTCCTCAATTCACTAGTCCTCTTCTCTTCGCCAACCCCCCCAAAACCCCTCTCAAACCCTTATATTCAACGCCAAAAGCCTCCAGCCCCCTTCACATTGCCACTAGTGGATAAAGAAATTCTCCCAGTGACAACAGAGATCCCGGGAGATATTAAATACATCGAGACGATCGATATGCCTGTTCCTGATATGTTAAATCCCCCACATCTCCCACTCATCAATTCTCCCAACTATTCCAACAATTACAATCACTCAATCCCTCATTTCTCAATTTTCCCCACAATTCCATCCATTTTTTCCACTTTCAACTCCAAAAACCCCAAATAAAATTTTTACCCCAATCTATTTCCACTACATTTTCTTTTTCAATGGTTGGAACAGACTAATTGATGATGTAATTGGAGGAATAATTTTTTTTTCAGGTCTGAGGGACCTCCTCCAAGGTAACACTCCAGTCTAGCCGCTTTTCAGTCCCTTTATGATTGAATTTTCACTCACTGGATGTTGGAGAGCACTTGAGGATCATTTAACAGGCGTCGAGGACATTTTTTTATGCTTCAGAGGGTCCAGTGATGGGGTTTTGTGGGAGAAATTGATGGAAACACTTGCACGATGACATTTCAATGCTGGAGATACACATCCAGTTGCACATTGGTTGGGTTGTTGTATCGATTCAAGGGGGGGGGGAGTTGGTTACTATCCCGCAGTCGCACGAATACTCGCGCTTCCCTGGGTTATCTCGACTAGTCGCGGTACACAAACGAAAATAATGAATTATCAATTCTTCGAATTTCTTTTTTTTTTTTATAAAACTTCGACATTTTGATTTTGGTTTTTCCTCTTTGTGAAGATTTTTGTGATCGGAGAACAATTGTACTTGATCAATTGATTGTTTATTTTTTTGGTTTTTAATAAATAGTTTTTCGGGACGGGGATCGTGGGGGTTGAGTCATCAAGTGTCCTCGACACCCTCGCAGCAATCCATTTCCTCATGCTCTTCTGCTTTCATTCGGGCTATCAGTTCTTTCGCTGGGTTGAACACACCTGTCGTCTGGACATTGCATATGAAGCATCGTGTGGATTTTTTGTAGTGGTCGAGGGCACATTTTTCACAGAAGTAGTGCTTGCATCTGAATATGAGGAAAAAATTTCATTGATTTGACTGGAAAATTGAATTTGGTGAATTTTATGGTGAAAAAGCTGGAATTGTTGAGCTCATTGTGAGGAGTAAATATGATTTTTGATTGAATTTTCAATAGATTCAAAATGCAGATTAAAGGGTGACTGAATTTACCAAAATTTCCAAGAATTTTTATTGTTATATGGAGTTGAAAAGAGGAATTTCATTCGACATTTCAATGAGTTGAAGATTCAGAGATTTTTCACTGGATTTTTTATATATTTTCATTGAAATTTCAGGAATAGTTTTCTAAAAGTGTCTGGAAATTTTTACATCAGTTTTCAATAAATTTTGTTAATTATAGTATTCAGAAAGAAATTGATGAATTACTACCCATCAATTGAAGAGGAAATTTCATTCACTAAAAAAAGTTGAATTTTCTTAAATTTAAGTAATAATAACTAGAATTCTTAAACTGATTGTGAGAAATAAAGATAACTTTTGATTGAATTTTCAATAAATGAAAATTTCAGAAAAAGAATTGCCTGAATTACTAAAATTTTCTATAATTTTGATTGTCATATGGGCTTAGAAATTGCAATGTCATTCAACATTTCAATGAGTTGTTGTTGAAGATTTAGAAATTTATCACTGGATTCGTTACATATTTTCCCTGAAATATCGGGAAAATTTTTCTGTAACTGTGTGGGAAATTTTTAATCAATTTTCATTCCATTCTATTGATCGTAGAAACCAGAAAAAAATTGACGAATTATCGTACTTGGTGACAACAGGATCGGTGAATGTGTCCCTACAGATGAAGCACTTGAAGGGCAAACTATCCTCGTCACTGTCGATTTCATACTTGCTATCATCCTCATCTCCAGAGTTATTATACTCTCCACTGGCAGCCTCCCTCTCCAATTGCCACCCGAGTTTGTAATCAGAACGATCATGCAAGAATTTACAGGAGTCCCCAAAGCCACAGAATCCAGTCTCTTTGTAGTCCTTGCAGATGTCTGGTTGATAATCCCATCGGACTGTAGCTCTGGAAAAGAAAAATATTGTGATCACGAGACGTGACCCAACCCTCTAATACCTATGGGATACATCGCAATTATTCCAACGAAACAAAACAAGTGGCCCATTGCACAGGCCTAAATCAAGAATAGTTTTTTTTTGCTAAACATTAGCAATTTGTTTCCGAATGGATTAATCGAATTAAAACAAAAAAGTGCATATTCGGTTTTCTGTCATTAATTTCAGATTAGTAGAAATCCTTCCTACAGTTTCACCTCAGGAAAATTCAATCGTTTTTTATTAAAGACAATTTGAGAGCAAATTTTTTAGTGAACTGAATTTATTTCAAATTAGACAGATTGAGTGAAAACAAAATGAATGTAAAATTTGATATCACGAGAGTTCATGCTCCTGATACATCAATGTTCATGTCTCCTCGGTCGTAAGTAAATTATTTAAATTTTATTTTTCTCCTGAATAGTTTTTCTGAAGCTGGACTTGAGACCAGTATAACTTTTTTGATAATGAATTAGCAATTTGCTTCCGAATGGTAAATTGGGGAAGAAGATATACAAACCATGAAGCCTTAATGTGATCTTTAAATGTCCCAAATGTCTAACATGAGCTCCATATGCCCTGATTAAACATCTAACAGACGCCGACTAAATTCAAATGAAACTGGTTTAAACTTCCACTGAACATTGATTAAACCTTGACGAAACCTTGGTTAAACCCTGATTAACCTTCGACTAAATCTCGACTAAACCATGATTAACCCTCGGTAAAATGCTTTTTAAAGCTATAATTTCAAAGAAAATGATGCGATCCAACATCGAACATCCAAACGAATATTTTAAGCCATAATTCAGTAGCAAAGTGGCAAAACGATACAATTCAATTTGACTATTGACCAGTTTTCAATGAATATCTCAGAATTTAAGGGAGATAGCAAAATTTTTGTTATAACCTTTTTTGTAGAGCCGATTGAGTGCTACAACAAATGTAACCACAAAAATTTAGTCATCTCCCTTAGATTCGGAAATATTCCTTAAAAACTCAACTGAGAGATAAGTTGTTTTAAACCATTTTACCATTTCGCTACTGAATTGAAAAGATTTTGACGATAATTTTTCGAATGGTCGTCGAAAAACTAAATTTGAAAGAAAAAGCTCACATACATACATACATCGTCACACAAAAAATGGAAATTTCAGATTTGACGAATACAATGCTTCCATTCAGAAGCCGTAACTACCTCAGGTTTGCTGGCGCCCTGATGGGGCCCTTCCTGACCATTCCGCTGGAGGCATTCCCAGCAGCTGTGTCCTTCTTCTTGTAATACTGGGCATAATTATTCAGTCCCCTGTAGATCTTGTCGTCCTCCTTCCCCTCCAGCTCCTCGTTTATCTTCTGAGCTTTCTCGAATATCGCCTGAGCATCCTTATCCACCTCTGTCTCAGTCTCCAGAACAGATGTGGCTCCCTGATCACTCGGGCCCTCAATCTGACTTGATTTCGTACTCTTATAGGACACCATCACTGAGGCTTCTTCCTCACTAGAGTCACAGGTCTCAGTCTTCTCTTTTCCTCTGAGACTTGTCTGTTGAAAAATTTAATGCAAAATTATCAATTGATTGTTTTACTATTGATATTGATGACTGGAACTGTGATACACACACTTTGTCGGAGGGGATTACTTCCATCAATTTTCTTCTCCTTCTTCACGACGGTTGTCTCATCCTCACTGCTATCTGCAGGAAAAAATGTTGAAAAGGAAACTACGAAGTAATCAAAGTAGGGTGAGAAGGCCAATTGTTGAACAGTGCAGGGAAATTCGAGTTTCGTTTTATTTTAGATCCTAATCTAAAATAAAAGAATCACCTAAATAGAGGTGTGATGGCTTCCACTCCTTCAAGGATCTTTTAATTAGCAGAAAAAAATTATTTAAAGTGAAAATAACAAAACAAAGAATAATTAAATTGAGAAATCATTGAATTTGATTTATTACATGTTGATCAATAGAAAAAATAATTGATCACATGATTATACAAGAGTAATATTATTGAAAGGTGAAATAATCAGTGCAATTTTCATTTCATTTATGGATTTATAGAATATTCAATGCAAATTGAAATCATCCAGACATTTATCTGTTTACCCCAAATGTATTTTTTGCATTCGAATGGAAGCTTTGTAATCGTTCAAATTTGAATTTTGAATTTTTAAAAGTCCAAAAATGCCATTTTTAGACCTCGTCCATACGTGTGTGTGGATGTGTATACGTACGTAACAAAATTTTTCTTCAATTGTTCGCTAATTAATGAATCGAATTGAATCTTTTGTTTTCAAATGTAGTTATTGCTGAGCCCTATCAATCGCCATCAATTAAAATTTAATTTATCAATTAGTTTTTTAATTTTCGAATTTTTTCAAAAATGGGTCGTCCTACGATAACTGAAAAAAATGTTCTAGATTGATTGAATGATGGCTTAAAAAATTTGTTTGGATGTCCTTTTGACCGAGTTCGAAGATGAAGGCGATAGCAATAATCGTTATTTTGATTTATTTCAAAATTTGCAAAAATTTTGTATTTTTTGGAAATCATAATTCTGGAGATAACTTTGAATATCATGCTCGAAATGAATTTAATCATAGCTTAAAATGTTTGTTTTAATGCCATTAAGTCAAAGTTAAAAAATGATTACGATAGCTATATTGGTTAATTCAATTTTTATGATGATTGTTGCAAATTTCGAATTTTTCATGAATTTCCCTGAAAGCGAGCTTTGTGATGATTTTTTCAAATGTGATGTTACAAATTCATTCAAGTATGTGTAAATAAAATTTTTCTATTGACATTTTGTCAAAGAGCTGACGGGGGAGATAGGACCGTAAAAAAGACAATTGCTTGTATAGAAGGAAGGGATAATAAGAATAATGATGATGATAACATTCAACTATGTTGAAAATCTGACAAAATTAGTTGAAAAGAAATCTTATTCAATTTAGCAAAATAAAGTAAACAATGAATTAGGGGAGGTTGGGGTAAAATGGACACTTTTGACTTTTTTTTAAATGGTGATGTCGGGTTGAAATGTTGATAAAATTTAATAATTTTTTGTTCATTGCAAAGAACAATTCTTTCCCTTCGTGATGAGCCTAAACTGAGCTGAATTGATAAATTTGTTTCTGAGTTATGAGTAATTAAAACAAAGGTCTAAAGTGTCCATTTTACCCCACTCTCCCCTATCCATGATAGAAGGAAATGATGTGTGAAATAACCATTCGGAAGTATATTACTAATTTATTAGCAAAAATAAATATAGGGGAGGTTGGGGTAAAATGGACACTTTTGATGTTTGTTTAAATGTTAGTGACAGGGTGAAATGTCGATGAAATTAAATCTTTTTTTTTTTCAATACAAGGAACAATTATTTCCCTTTGTGATGAGCTGAAACTGAGCTCTATTGATACATTTGTTTCTGAGTTATGAATAATTTTAGAAAAGTCTAAAGTGTCCATTTTACCCTACCCTCTCCTACCATCATTAGACGTATTCATCCCCGAGAGATATAAATTAATAAAGGAATGAGGAATTTTTGGGGAAATAAAACTCTATGTTCTAATTGTCAAGGATGCGGCATTTCGCTAAATATATTTTAGCTAAACGTATTAACATTTTATCTAAATATATTTAGCCTAGAAATATACTATATACAATACAAGAGCAATTTTCCACTTGTTTCTTCATTGATAAGAGTTCTAAGGCTTATTAATAAAAAAAAGACTAATAAGATCTTTACTGATACTTGATACTGATAAATGTGTAATGAACAAAGTAAAAATCCCAAAATGTGAGTGAAAAAGTGAGAAATGTGAAATTTTCTCGACTGCTGAGCCCCAAACAGTAAAGTGAAATACATTTCGTGGGAAATGTAAAGAGAAATTATTTGTAGAGAATAAAATTCCCAATTAATAAAGTCTTCTGACATTTTTTTCTGACATTTCTTCACCCGAAATTCACCAATCCCTCCAACACCTGCTCATTCTAACCTCAGAGCTTAATTTCCCCCAGAAAATCCAGACAATCCACTAAAATAACTTCTAAACAATTATCTCACCGTTCTGCCCCTCAGCCTGACGCTTCCTCATGGCGTTATTAACAATTTTCCTCTTCTTGAACATTTTTAACGATTTTTTTCCACTTGTTTACGATTCAAAACGACGTCAACATGTCAAACACAGGAGCCGCAGTTGCTTCTGCATTGTGAACCACTGGTGGTTGTATATCAAGGTCAGGTTGGGTCTGGTCGAGTGTGCGGAGTGTGTGTGATGCCTGTTGAATGTGCATTCGGTCATAAACAATCATCCCATTGACTATTTAAATCGATTTTCATGTGAATAAATCTCATGATGTGAGCAGTCTTGTCAGAGTCGAAGTGAATAGAGAGTGTGTGGCTCGATCAGGGTTATTACTGACGATTGTCCGGTGAAATGAGTAAATTAGTCAAGATGACGTTGAGTTCATGTCGGGGGAATGGATACCTGATGATTGGAGTGTGTTTGGGACTCAGTCTGAGTCTTTTCATGTCTCCGGTGGAGATTTCCGAGGGAATCGACGCCAATTCGCCCTCTGATGAGTTCTGGTAATTAAATAATTATTCGAAAAGATCATTATTCAAATGGTGAAGGGCCTCGCAAGGGTCAGGAGGGTCAAATCAGAGTTGAATAGAATTTTCAAATTGTGTGTATCAAATCTCATCTCCCAGGAAATGTGAAAAAAGTGATTTTACTTCTGAAAAGCTAACAAATATTGAAACTGATAGGATTATTTCGATCATTGCGCACTCAGTTGGAATTTAAGAGGTCTTGGGGGTAAAAAAAATACTGAAATGTAGGAAAAACTTTGCGCCATGAATTCTTAATGAAGCGGGAATGAAAAAATCTGAAGGCTAGCATGAAAAATTCGTTCCTTTCTTAGGAACTGGATGAAACGAATTGAAGGTGATCTGAAGAGGATAAATAATTTTGAGAAATTTTCAAAAATACGAGGTGGTCGACTGCTGTGGGCTCCGCCATCTTGCATGGATACCCCTCCCTCTCCCAGTCAGAAATTTTTTAGAGTGACTGAAGTCACGCCGTACAGATATCGTGAAGATATCCAGGTCTCCTTTTCCGTAACTATTTATACAAAATCTATTGGAGTTATCTGGAAGTCAGATTTCAGGAATCTAAAGGAGGTAGCAATAATTGTGTTCAGACCTTTTTTGGAGCCATCAATTAGCTCTACAAAAAAGGTAATGAAGGAAGAAAATTTTGTTATGGCCCTTAGATTCGGAGATATTCCTCAAAAACTCAGCTGAGGCCTGAACCGACTTAAACCGTTTTCTCGCTGAACTACTGTATTCCTGTCGTAAAAAGGAGAATGGAAATCGATTTCGAAATATCTCGAAAACTCGAATAAGCGTAAGCGTAAGACTGAAACCGAAGCGCCACTACGTGAGGAGATGAGAAGGCGCGTGCGTAGCACGCGGGGCCGATCTGGTACTAAAAACAGTACCGGAAAAGGGAATGTTGGACATCTATGCGATATCCATACGGCGTGATTTCAGTCACTCCCAGAAACTTCTAACTGGGCTGTCGGAGGAAGTTTAAAAATGGCGGGGCCCCTCACCTCAAATTTTTAAACACTTCTTGAAATTGTTTATCACTTCTAGATCACCCTGAACCCACTTCATCCCATTTCTACAAAATGAACAAGTTTTCCAATCCATCATTGAAAATTTTCCATCCCCTCTCGGCAGAGATTCCACAATGCGAAGTTTTCCCCGCATTTCAGTCGTTTTTTTTCCACTCCCAAGGCCACTTCAGAACCGAATTTTCCCTTTCAGGTCCCCCGTGCCCTCCCAAGACCCCGTCGACGAGTACGTCCCAAAGATAAATCTCGCTCAAAAGCCAAAAATCCCCCAAAAGGTCCCCAAATCCCTGATCCGTCCGCGCTACTACTCCACTGAGCTCGGCATCCGCGAAAAGCTCTTTATCGCCGTCTCCACCTCCCGCGAGCACCTCCACACCCGGGGCATCGCCCTCAACAAAACACTGGCCCACCTAGTTGACAAAATCCGCTACTTCATAACCATCCCCGAGGGATCGAAGCCCAACGTCAGCCTCCCCGGTATCGTCGGCTTCACCGACACCCGGGACATCCTCAAGCCCTTCCACATAATCAAGTACATCACCGATAACTACCTCGAGGAGTACGATTTCTACTTCATCGTCAAGGACTCCAGCTATGTCAACGGAAGATCCTTGAATCATCTCTTGGATAAAATTTCCGTCTCCAGGGACGTCTACCTGGGGCGCCCCCTGGACGACGACCCCAACTACTGCTCCCTTGACTCCGGTATTATCCTCTCCAACTCTATAATCCAAAAAATGAAAACTAATCTCGACTGGTGCGTCAAGAACACCTTCTCCAGCATCGACGACATCAACTTCGGAAGGTGTGTCGAACATTCAACAAATCTCCAGTGTCGGAACACTTCAGAAGACGTCCAGTTCATCTCGAATGATTTTGACAAAATTCCAGATCAAAAGCTCAACAATTTTGCTGAGAAAAATTATTTTTTCGGGGATCGTCTTGGGATTGTGAAAAACTCCGTGACTGTAGCCTCAATTTTCGATCATTCGATGGTGTATAAACTTCACATAGAATCGGCGATTGACAGAATCAGAGAGATTGAATTGGTAATCAAGGATATTGAGGAGGATTATGAGGAAATTGCTAATTTTTCCAAGAATTTTTCGGGGAGGGCCTGGCCGATAGGTACCTCCGGGCCCTCCCGGCCCTCCGCAAGGTTCGATCTGACCCCGTGGGACTATTTCAACGAGTCCCACGTGTTCATGGAGACAGATCACGAGAACTCAAGGCCCTTGATCGGGAGTTTCAAGAGGGAGGTCGAGGAGGTCTTGGGGTTGCTGGGGGAGACGGTCAGGAAGAGGAAGGGGGGCTTGAGGGTGCAGAGGGTGGTGAATGGGTGGAGGAGATTCGACGCGGCCCGAGGGGTCGACTACATCCTCGATGTTCATGTTCTTGATGCCACGGGAGGGATGGCGACGAAGAGGTTCGAGGTGACGAAGCCCCTGGGAAAGGCTGAGATCCTCTCGGTGCCTTACGTCACGGAGAACTCGCGGGTGAACCTGGTGGTGATCGTGGACACCCAGGGAATTCACGAGGCGGGGGTTTTCATAGAGGATTACGTTAAGGTGTGCATGGAGAAGAGGGACAAGACGAGTCTGATGCTGGTGTTGCTGTATGATCCGGAGAGCCCGTCTAAGGGGAGCCAGGATGTCTTCGCTGGGGTGAAGCGGAAGGCTGTTGGGGTCACGGAGAGGTTCAAGAAGGAGGGGATGAGGATCAGTTGGCTATCGGTGAGGATGGACGTGAGAACTGAGAAGGTTAGGATGGATCCCATTGTGAGGGTCGGGGTTTTGGATTTGGTCAGCAGGAAGTTCAGCCCGGAGAGCCTTGTCATGGTCATGGAGATGGGGGCAGGGCTGAAGCCGGACTTTTTGAACAGGGTGAGTTTAATATTCCGTATTTAGGATTACTAAACTGACGGCGCGCTCCCGTGGGTCTCAGTGACGTGAGAATATATAGGCAGACGGATGGCTCAGAATTTCGTTTTTCCACTTCCTACACCCTGTACAAGATAAATTAAATTAATTTTTTTTTACGATTTCGTTTTTTGGGATTATCTCGGAAACTATGAGAGATAGAGCCTTAAAACCTATTCCATTCGATTCCTGAGGAAATTCAAATTTCCCTGTAAGAAGATGGACGGCTCAGACGTTTTTCCACTTCCTACACCCTATACAAGATAAATTAAATTAATTTTTTTTTTACGATTTCGTTTTTTGCGATTATCTCGGAAACTATGAGAGATAGAGCCTTAAAACCTATTCCATTCGATTCCTGAGGAAATTCAAATTTCCCTGTAAGAAGATGGACGGCTCAGAATTGCGTTTTTCCACTTCCTAGGCCTTATACAAGATGAATTAAATTAATTTTTTTTGGCACTTTGGTTTTTCGCGATTATCTCGGAAACTATTAGAGATAGAGCCTTAAAACCTATTCCATTCGATTCCTGAGGAAATTCAGATTTCCCTATAGAAAGATGGACGGCTCAGACGTTTGCGATTATCTCGGAAACTATACAAGATAAATTAAATTAATTTTTTTTTTACGATTTCGTTTTTTGCGATTATCTCGGAAACTATGAGAGATAGAGCCTTAAAACCTATTCCATTCGATTCCCGAGGAAATTTGAGTTCCCTATAGGAATATGGACGGCTCAGAATTGCGTTTTTCCACTTGCTACACCCTATACAAGATGAATTAAATTAATTTTTTTTTGCACTTCGGTTTTTCGCGATTATCTCGGAAACTATTAGAGATAGAACCTTAAAACCTATTCCATTCGATTCCCGAGGAAATTTGAGTTCCCTATAGGAATATGGACGGCTCAGAATTGCGTTTTTCCACTTCCTACACCCTATACAAGATAAATTAAATTAATTTTTTTTTGCGATTTCGTTTTTCGCGATTATCTCGGAAACTGCGAGAATAGACGGGGGGGGCGAGAGACCTTCGAGATATTGCGGTTTCGATTCGATATTTGTGTGACAATACTTTAAAGGAATGAAAATTATGTCAGGACGTGTATGTTCTTTCTAAAATAAGAACTAGTCTGACGGCGTCTTTTTAACGTGGAGATAGACTCAGCAGGTGACAAGCTTTCAAGATAACTGCGATATTATTAAAGAAATGACGTAATGACGTGCATGAATTTTTTATATAAGATTTAAGAGGCCTCGGGAGTTAAAACAAAGCACTGAAATCCAGGGAAACTTTGCGCCATGAATTCTCAGCCGAAAGGGGGTGAAAAAATATGAAAAATGGCTTTAAAAATTTATTCACTTTGTAAAAATCGGATGAAGTGAGTTGAGAATGATCCGAAGAGAATTAATAATTTTACAAAGTATTTGAAAATACGAGGTCGGGATCCGCCATCTGTAAAACCCCCTCTGGCAATCTAGCCAGAAATTCTAGGGAGTGACTGCAATCACGCCGTATGGATATCGTATAGATATCCAATATCCCTTATTCTTTTAAAAACATGAAACACTTTTTAAATAAGGACTAGTCTGACGACGTCTTTTTCGATGTGGACATAAACGCAGGAGGTGACAGGCTTTAAAAATATTTACGATATAATTTTTTTAAATGACGTAATGACGTGTAAGTTTGAAGAGGCCTCGGGAACAAAAAAAAGCACTGAAATCCAGGGAAACTTTGCGCCATGAATTCTCAGCCGAAAGGGGGTGAAAAAATATGAAAAATGGCTTTAACAATTTATTCACTTTGTAAAAATCGGATGAAGTGAGTTGAGAATAATCCGAAGGGAATTAATAATTTTAAGAAATATTTGAAAATACGAGGTCGGGGTCCGCCATCTTTAAAACCCCCTCCGGCAACCTAGCCAAAAATTTTGGGGAGTGGCTGAAATCACGCCGTATAGATATTGTATAGATGTCCAATATCTCTTATTTTTTTGAAAACATGCACCTGTTCCTCTCACAGGTGAGAATGAACACGATTATGCAGTCCCAGATATTCAGTCCCATCCCCTTCACCGAGTACCACCCGGACATCGTCTACCCGGATGATGTCCAGCGTCCCCTGGAGGTGGACATTAACCGCAATTACGGTGGCTACGACATCCACAACTTCGAGACCATCTCCTTCTACATAAAGGACTACCAAACCGTCCGGAAGAGCTCGGAGAAGGACATTTCCATCGTTCGAAACGACAAGGACATCATCTCGATCCTGAAATTGTCGAAGAGCAATATTATAGATTCTCTTTTTGAATTGTTCGTTGTTTACAGTGATTTGCACACCCTTAGGGCTGTTGAACCCGCCCTCAAGGTCAGGTACAGTGAGATTGACTGTAGGGGTGCCAGGTTGGCGAGTGAATCTTCCAAGATCAGTTGTGAAAACAGGAAATACTCGAGGCTGGGACATCGAGGGCAATTGGCTAAGCTGATCCTGGATTATCAGAATAGCAATTGAAAATCATTTTTGATGAATGCCAAAATGTTTCCAACAAAATAAGAATTGAATTTTAAGTATTTTTATTTTAATTTTTTGTTGAAAATCCTGTTTTTAGTTTCGTAGAGATCGTTATAGAATTGTATAATGCTCTCTGGTGTGTATAAATCTCTCAGGCATTGAAATTTTCTTTAAAAATTCCTCGATTTATGTATTTAATTGGTTAAAAACAATCTGAGAGAAACGAAAAAACAGTGAAAGCAGGTTTTTCTCAGATTTGAAGAAAAACCTGACCTTATTTTGTGGATATCTCCGAAACGGTGAGGTTTTTTGAAAAATGCCATATAACATTTTTGGTCGGAAATTTAACTATCTAGAAGAAAGGTCGTAACACATTTTTCGATAAACCCAATGGTTCTCGAGATATTTTCAAAATAGTGAAGGATATTATTGAAATAAAAATCTGTGCTCCCAGAGCTCACTTATACAATCAAACTTATCACATTAATCAATCAAGGCAATTAAAAACAGGTAGAAAATGAATTACTATACTATAAAAGTAGGTTTCAATGAGATAGTAATACTAGGCTAACTGCCACTCCTATCTCCTGGTTAACCATAATTAAATCATTAGTAAAATGTGAAATTCCATCACTCACTGATGAAATATGAACAATAGACAGTGAAAAATAGTCCATCGAACATTAATTATCGAATTCGGAATATAAAACTCTTCAGAGAACCCCTAGAACTGTTTCTCAGGCTAAAAAATGGTCTCAATCCCAATTTTAATTGTTAAAATCGCAAATTAATGGTTTAAAAATCCTCACGATTTAGGGGAAATTCTATAATATTTCCTCTGTTGTCTTTAATATGGCAGCTTCTAGCTGTTGATAGAATGATCCTATCATGTGTGAAAAAGTTGATCGAGAGTATTTTGGAAGCTAATGGATTCGAAGGAAAATATCAAGAAACATTATTTACAAAATATTAGATTCCCCACGAAAATTAATCATTGGGAAATCCAAAAAACTCAAAAAATGATCCAACAACCACAAAATAATGCTTGGCAAGACCTTGCTTTATTCAAAGGTTTGAGCTGACAATTACACACTACGATATAAGAGAAAAACGAACGTTTTTTTTCGATTAAAACGAACAGAAATAAAAATAAAATTGATGATAAAACGCCGAACACCCTAACTCAATTTAGCAAAAATATATATATAATTTTTCATAACGATTATCGTCTTTTGGCTATATAATCAACCATCTCCAATCGTTTCCATGAATTCATTTAGATTTGATTACAGGAAAAATTAATCGCTATCTGATTCAGATTCAGATAATTGAAGATCATCGTTCAATAGATTATCTGGCATGTTCATCAGAATTGGATTTGGAGACGATGTATGTCCATTTGCATGTCCTGAAAATTAATTAAACACACTTAATCATTTTTTCTGAATCAATTGCGCTGATTAAAAAAATAATTCCCATTTTTTTGTGCTTTTAATTCATTTTTCACTGATATAATTACCATTGGCAGTCATGGGTCTGTGAGTTTCCTCGTCAGAATCACTATCAGAACTAGAGGAGCTTGAGCTACTGGAGCTGGATTCACTGAGAACTCCAACTTGGTCCCGGGAGATGACAGTGGTGGTTCCAGTGTCGAAGTTTGGGGAGGGTTTTGAGGGGGGTGAGGTGGCTTTGGGGGGCTGAGCAGGGGCTGGAAAGTCCTCAAAGTCAGCACCGATCATGGGGAGGCTCGGGTGAGTCGATGGCCCCATTGATTGCGCTGGAGAACTGAAAAACAACAATAATTTTCTTAAACATTCGTTGTTTTTAAATAAATAATTAAAATTCAGTAGCGAAGTGGTAAAGGATGATAAGTCGGTTTTTTTCCGAAAATGAGTTATTGATGGAAAACGATTCTACATATTGTATTACATATCTCCTATAAACGATTTGAGTAAAAAAAAATTAACTATATTTTTATTCAAGTGAAAAACGGAAAAAGTCCTGAATTTCATTCTCAACTATCATCCTGCGAGTTAAATCGACTCATACCTTCATTCTCCTATTATGGATACTTTTCATATTAATTTTATTGGAAGGCAATTCAAATCTCCACACCGTGTCCCAATGGCGACAAATTTACCATCTCTTCCTGAGGGAATCACCCGCACGGAAAATTATGTATGTGGAACATATAAATAAGTCTATGATGTATATATGACACATATATTAAACATATAGACGCATATATTCTACATATAAGTGCTATACAGCATTTTTCGCCGATTTCTATACATAAAAAATATGTTTATTATGTATACTGCTATTATGCGATGGTAAATGCAATATATATGTTGTTATATAGGGGAGAGTAGGGCAAAATGAAACAGTCAAAAAACGACTGTTGACGCAATTTAGCCAGAAATTTTATTTTTTATTTTTTGTCAACTTTTTTTATTCTTGGGAGTACTAATAAGAATAATCACTTTCCATTCAGTAGGATGGAAGATTATTGAGAAGTTTTGATGGTCGAAGATTTTGTCAATGAATTATTGGATTGAAATTTAGCATCACGTTTTCCTTTCTGCCCCTCTGGTTCGCCCCCTGGGCCTCGCTCTGGACTTTGGATTTTGCTGTTTCATTTTCTTTTCAATTGATCCATAATACTAAATGGAAAATTATTATTCTCATCAGTACTCCCAAGAATAAAAAAGTAGTAAAAAAATTGTTTTTTTGCTTCAATTGCGTCAAACAGTCGTTTTTTTGACTGTTTCATTTTGCTCCACTCTCCCCTAGTCGATACATATACGAATATCAAATTCATATGTATATAACATATATCGCACGGATGTTGATCATATATGAGAATTTATACTCAATATATATGTAACATTGCCATGCAATTTTTTAAAATTATTAATTACTCAGTTTATAAGTTCGAATGATGATTTTCTGCTTATTACTATCGTAGCCCTACCTGAAAAACCTATTAGCTGAAATTAAATTTCTCTATCGGAGGGGGGTTCGAACCTACAACCTATGGAATCGCAACCTAACGCGTTACCCCTGATTACAAAATCATTCTTACAATCATCTACACTATATTTCGACACCCACTCCTGCTCTCGCGCCCCAAAAAAACTGAAACGATGTCTAAAATACCCATTCGCTAATTTATTTGCAAAAATAACTATGCTATATACAATACAAGAGCAATTTCCCACTTGTTTCGTATTTTTTCAAACAATAGTTCATTTTTAAACCATTGAAGAGCCTTGAGTGCTCCATAATTAGACTGTTCACCGTACTTGGATATTCTTAAGCAGTTGGAATTTGTCTAAAATATCATTTTCATTTTCTGAAAATAATCCACTGAAAAAGTATCTCTTCGTGATTTAAACTCAGGAATGTCAGGGATTAATTGAAAAGTAGTCTCACCTGTTGCTATTTACATTGGGAGGACTCTTCCCATGATAAGGGGAGATTCCCTTGGGACTTGGCTGCTGGGTCTTGGGGTGCAGTTGCACAGTGGGCTCCCTCTTCTTCCCAGTGGAGACTTTCGTTCTACTCGTGGATCTCCCATGCGTTGGACTTCTTTTCGTCTCCACAGGGGTGTGGGGCCTACCCGAGGAGTTTGTGCTGTTGGACGTTGGAACTGCTAGCAGTTGGGACTTGGGCTCCACTCTCGTCTTCTTGACTTGAATGTTGGAGGAGAGCTTCTCCAGGGTGATCTCCCCAGTTATCCTGTCGATTATCAGAACACATTCTTTGCTGTAGGGACGCTGGGAGCCTTTGAACACTGTGTGGGGTATGCCTGCACCGTCCAGGTGGGGCACTGTCACTGTCATCATGTGGTTGGAGCCCACCTCTACTGTTGCCATCTTCGATACGTCTACAGAGGCTGGTTTGAAATCGTCTGTGGAGAATTTTTTTTATTAGAGGAGGAAATTGTGCTGAAAGGTCTTTGGGGTTTTTATTGGGAAAGTATTTAGGGGATAATGAGGGGTCCTCTCGAAGAAATGAAAATGAAAATTCTTAAGGTCACGTATCTTCGATAACAATTGTTGGATAACAAAATAATGTGAATGAAAAAGTGAGAAATGTGAAATTTTCTTGACTGTTGAATTGAAAATAATAAAATTGCATTCCTGGGAAATGTCGACTGGACGTGTTTTAAAATGAGGTAATTTGGACAAGAGTATTGTGCATTGATATTCCTTGAAATTGTTGCCAATTTATCGATAAATGAACTAATGAAGAACAAGTTTGAAATTGATGAAATGATATAGAATATACAAAGAGTGAGTCTCTTTAAGGTATTTGATCTCATGTTATGCTGAATACAATGCTAATGGCTTGTTTATTATAACGAGAGAAACACAAAGTGCATGTGTAATCGAATCACCAAATGGAAGAATGAATAAATAAAAATATTGAACGGAATGAGAATTTTTTGTTCTTTTTACAATCTGTTTTTTCGTAGAGAATTAAATTCTCCATAAGAAATATCTCTTGACATTTTCTTGTAAATTCACTCATTACCGAGACAATTGGGTAATCAACAAAATAAAAGTAGCAAAATGTGAATAAAAGAGTGAAAAGTGGGAAATTGTTTTCACTGTTAAATACCAAACGATAAAATTGAATGCATTATCATGGAAAATGTCGAGTGGACGTATTTTAAAATGAGGTAATTTGGACAAGATTATTGTGCATTGATATTGATTGGAATTATTTCCAATTTATCGATAATTGAACTAATAAAGAACAAGTTTAAAACTGATGAAATGATAAAGAATATACAAAGAGTTAGTCTCTTTAACGTATTTGATGTAGAGAATTACATTCTCCGTAAAAAATACCTCGTCATTTTCTTGTAAAATTAATACATAAAAATACCAATGCATTCTCATGAGAAATGTCGAGAGGACCTGTTACAATCTGAACGAGATTATCATCCTCCACCATTCAGTGACATTTTTAATTTATCAATAACTCAAGTAATGTCCAACTTGATAATCAACGCAGTAACGAAGAATATAACATAAATGAACAAGAATATCAGCAAAAAAATGTCCTCACATTTGAGAGTGTGAAAAGCAGTCCCTCGATCTCCAGTGAAGGTAGGACCAAGCTTGAGTTCCCTGACCTCAGGCCCCAGGCCCAGTCTCTCCGCTATATCCCTGCCATACCCAGAGGGCGACCCATTGCTGGCCATCGACTTCATTCCTCCAGAATCCTCAGGAAACCCTCGATCACACCCCAGACTCAGTCCCTCGACTCCACCTGGGGATCCATATGTTGGCCCTCAGCCCCACCTACGAAAGATCCCTTCCATCAGCAAAATCTCCACAATAACCCTCAGCAAAACCCCTCTCTTTCCCAAGAAAAAACCCCAAACAATCATCAAAACCCTCTCTTCAACAGAATAAAACTGTAAATCCCATTTTTTTGAGGTTAGGGGGCTCAAACGTCATCTTCCCCTGCCACAACAACAGTAAACAATTATTTCAAATAATTTTTCCCTCAAAAACAGAAAACAAAAAGCAAAAATTACGATTTTTTTTTGTTTTTCTCTTTATCAATTGTTCAAAGAAAAAATCATGTAAATGTTGAAAAAAAATTTCTGAAGATAAATTTTATCGTTCTCAAGGTTCTTGAAGGGTCAGATGATTTTTGGAGGAAAAATTCAATGAGTGATGAATTATTGGAGGCAGCAATCACTTACGAAAGACGAAAATGTCGAGTTTTGAGAGTAAAATGTCCTCCAAATATGTCTCGGCAGCTGTCCACCCCCGGAGTGCCCTAGACTCTCGAAAGACTATGGAAAATACTCCAGACTCTCCCCTGAAATGTTGACACTCTTCTCCAACCCTGAACAGCACGAATGATCCAACAAAAAATTTAAATATGACATTGGATTGATGATTAAATGGTTAACAGCTGCTCGGGTAACTCGATACAACTATGGCACTTCGTTATTCACTTCGGTTTTTATCAGTAACTTTGACTTTCACCTAGGTTAAATGGCCTTGAGTCTCGGCGAATCGAGGGAATGTGATCTCACACGATTTTCTTTCGGGGATTCTATTGGGATTTTTTTTTGGTCAGGGGGATTTTTTTTAGATGATCGAATACATCCCATTGGCCCAATTTGACACTGGTTTGGTACTGGGGGTTCGAAGCACTTATTGGAAATAAAAGAAACAGGATTGAAAATTGATGGACTGGGAGGTGGTGTCCTCTGACGAGTGGAGGTAGACGTACGGACCTCTGTCGGTAAGTCATTTTTTTCAAATTTGTAGTTTTTTTCATTTTATAAAAAACATTAATTTCTGATTTTCTGCAATTTTTTTTATTTTGAGATTTTTGTTGCTTGACAACGATTTTTTGAAAATTTTATTTTTTATAATTTTCAGCTTCTTTTTAATTTCCGAAAACAATAAAAAAATCATAGCTATTTGGAAAACATCGTAATGCGAAAAATTGTTTCAAATCATTTTTTTAGATAATTTTTTTCACTTTTTAAATTCATTTTTGCTTGTTGCAAAAGCAAAACCTCTCATTTCTCAATTCTTCAGATTTTTCATAAAAAATCAGGTCCCATTCCTTATATTTATCCCCCTCCCCCTCAATTTTAGGTCCCACGATGCGCGCGCAGTAGTCTTTGTCCGATCAAGTCAAGATGGCGGAGTTGAGTGATGAAAATGGCGACGAGCGACGGGAATCAGACAACAATAGGCACCGGCGATCGGTTTAAACTTTAAAATTGCTCGAAAAGTATGAAATTAAACATGAAAAATAGTATTTCATGGGTGGAAGGTGATTAGTGCCACGTGAATACCAGAAATTTGTGAAAATTGAGTCGTGTTTTGAGGTGCAAGGGGTGCCAACGAAAAGTTGGGGGCATCACTCTGTGTTTACAAGTGCTACGAGTGTTTTGTTGTAGTTTTGTTTGTTGAAAAGTTACAAATGTCGTGTCAAGTGTTAACTATTGATGAAAGGAATAAATAAATGTTTATCAGTGTCACGTGAAGACCTGGAAATCATGAAAATTCTATCGTGACAAAGAGTTGAGGGACATAAGACTCTGTGTTACAAGTGTTGAGTGTCACGTGTGATGAAAAAAATGTATCAAACGCTGATGAATAAAATGAACAGAGTCAAAGTCATAAATGAAGTTCAGATTCAATAAATGAATTGATTAAATTAAATGAATAATTAAATTAAATGAAAGAACAAAACAATTATTGAAATAAATTAATAGAGACATAATAAGTGAATGTGGGTGAAATTAATACTTAAAAATTCACTTTTTTTTACAATTAATTATTTCGATTGTGACGAAAAATCGTCACTCAATGTCACGTGGAAACCTTGAATTCGTGAAAATCCTGTCATGACAAAGAGTTGAGGGACTTCAGACTCTGTTACAAGTGTGTTGAGTGTCATGTGTAATGAATAAAAATGTGTGAAGGACTGATGAATAAAATAAACAGAGTCGGAAGTCATAAATGAAGTTCAGATTCAATAAATAAATAAATTGAATTAAATTGAATGAATATTAAATGAAATAAAAGGACAAAAAATTATTTAAATAAATGAAAAAAGAGATAATCAGTGAATGTGAGTGAAACTAATTCTCAAAAATTCAATTTTTTACTTTTTTAGTCACTCCGTTCATTATTTCGATAGTAACGAAAAATCCTCACGATGAAATTATCGGCCTCTGCGTTAGCAATGTTCATAGAATTCGCAAAAATTCTGTTACGACAGAGCCGAGGGACATAAGACTCTGTGTTACACGTGTTGAGTGTCCATCTGTAATAAAAAAATGTGTTAAGTGCTGATAAATAAAATAAACAGAGTCAACATGAGTGAACTTGAGATTCAATAAATGAATGAATAAAATTAAGTGAAATGAATAATTAAATGAAGTGGAAGAACAAAAAAATGAGTGAAATAAATCAAAAGAGAGATAAGAAGTGAATTTTGGGGAAGTTAATTATTGGAAATTCAAATACATGATGAGATGATGATTTGAGGTGCATCACCTGAAGTATAGAATGAACAACATCTGCGGTATCGGAGCTGCCACCAGCCGCTGGTCACTCACCAGCACAAGGTAACAGAAGGTAACAACTCAACTTTCCCTCCAAATCATCCTTATTAGAATCATCTCTTAATCATATTCTCCTTTATTTGCAGAAATTGAACAGTCAGTGGCGAGGGGAAGGGTAAGTGACTATAGTTATTACTTATAGAAATATGTAACTAGGGGATTTATAAGGGTGTAAGGACCGAACAGTCATGCAAGGAACCTTTTGTTCAAGTTTGTACATGACTAAAAAAATATTTTAACACCCCTAGATTCCCCTAAATCGAATCTAAATGCGAAAAGATTCCCCGGAGAAATTTCACACCGTCTTATGCTTATAAAATCCATTAGGTGTGTGAATGATTTCTCTTCCCCTAGATTGAATCAATCGAACCAAATTTAAGTAAACTCAAATTTAAGTTAACAATTTGTAAGGAATCAATCGAATCCCATGGATTTTTCATGAATATAAACTTTAGCGAGCTCTAGTCATTAAGATCGATTAAAATTCAATGTCTCATGCAGATTCGAAAAAATTTATATTTCTCCAAAAATCGATTTTTCAACGATCACTCAAAAAATTGTCATCAAAATGGAATCAGTCGTGGCTCAAAAATTGATAACAATACCCTCTTGATTCTATAAGAATATGATGAGGGTCGCACAATTCGTTGTTGAGTTACAGCACATTGTTTATGCGATTTGAAAGAGAAAATCGGTTTTTTCATCATTACTGAAAGACTCATCAGTAATAGCAATTAAATCAGGGCTTGAAAAATATACTTCAATGCCTTCTCAATCAAGTTGAAAAATGGTGAGAACAGTATCATTGCTGATCAAGTTACACAATACCGTCATGTTTTATATAAAAATCTCTATCTCTATTAAACTCAGGTACCAGTCTATTATGTTGAATACTTATTCATATTGATTCATGGTCCCAACTAACTTCTGACAGAACCTGGGTTAAACTCTGGCTAAATCCTGACTAAACCCTGATAATATCCCGGCTATACACTGATTAAACCTTGATTAAAACTTCATTAAACCTGGAATGAAAACGAATTCGAGTTTTCAGAGGCTCTGAATGTAGCATTATTTGACAGAACGAAATCATACGCAAAATTGTGATGACATTTCAATTGATCATAGTATGACATGAAAAAATAGAAGAAGAGAATAGTGGAATGAAAATTTAAAAAAGAGAACCCATTCGGAAGAAAATTGCTCCACAAGAACTATACTCATTTATTTAAAAAATGCATTTGTTCACTTGATTGATTGAAAAGACATTCTCGCCATACAAGACCTTTCAAAACATCCGTAAAATGCTTTAGGGGAAAATTCAATTTAGGGGATTCCAGAGGGCTTAAGGGCCAAACAATCACATGACCAAACTTAGTTCAAGATCCCTCTAAATCAGGGATAGCCAAATTTGTAGTATTTTATTACGGTTACTTTTGTAGCCCTTCATTAGATCAAATCACTCTTGATATTTTTTGAGTACTTAAGTATCATCAATTCAAATATTCAAATTTTCAACTATTTTATCAATCAATAATTTGAGGTAGGAAGATTGCCGATTACTTGTGTAATCGAAAATCCCCTTTCAAGAAATTTGAATTATTCACTTAGTAGTAAATTTACAGTTTCATATTAACAAATTTTAAATATATCATTATTAGTAAAAAATCCGATTATTAATATTATATTATTTTGAAAAATTGAATCAACATATTTTAAATCTTCAATAATGTAAGAGTCAAATCCTTGTAATATTACAGAAATTTAATATTGATGGGGATCCCTGCTCTAAATTAAATCTTTCACCAATTTTCAGCTGCATCTCATGACAACTGAAATAATCGATAAAAATCCCAACGCACTTCTTCAAAAATGTGCGTAGGCCCGGTCCAATGACCCTATTTAAGTGGCCAAAAAACTACGTAAGGCCAGAGTGACTAAAAAAATTTGACCGTAACGATCACCTCTGACTTGCATAGATTGATCCATCATCATTGTCTTGTCTGGCTGTCGTCTCGCCAATTCATTTGACTCCATTCGGGGCAAATATTGACTTTTCTTGGAACTACTCTGCTATTTCCACACTCTACAAACAAATTGTTCTTTTTTTTCTACCCCCCCCCCT